TCCTTCGGTATTTATTGAATGACTTTTTTTTTTTAATAAGATTTATTTATTTATTTGAGTTACTTAGACAAGAAGAGGCAGATAGGGGGCGTCTTCCATCCACGGTTCACTCCCCAGTTGGCCGCAACGGCCAGAGCTGTGCCGATCCGAAGCCAGGACCCAGGAGCCTCCGCCGGGTCTCCTACAAGGGTGCAGGGGCCCAAGCACTTGGGCCATCTTTCACTGCTCTCCCAGGCCATAGCAGAGAGCCGGATCAGAAGAGGAGCAGTCGGGACTTGAACCAGCACCCACATGGGGTGCCGGCACTGCAGGCGGCGGCTTTATCTACTATGTTACAGCGCCGGCCCCAAATGACTCTTTTTTAAAGTAAATTTTCTTCCTCTGCTCATTTTTCTTGTATCACTGTGCAGCTTTTCATTCTTTGCCATCTTTATTCTTCTGCTGTTCAGATTACCCCAGAACTGCTGGTGGAGCCCCTGAGGGGGTTCCTGTGTCCTGTGGGCGTGGCCCCGTCTCCAGTGGAGCCCCTGAGGGGGTTCCTGTGTCCTGTGGGCATGGTCCTGTCTCCAGTGGAGCCCCTGAGGGGGTTCCTGTGTCCTGTGGGCATGGCTCCGTCTCCAGTGGAGCTCTGCAGGGTGGTTCCTGGGTCCTGTGGGCGTGGCCCCATCTCCAGTGGAGCCCCTGAGGGGGTTCCTGTGTCCTGTGGGCGTGGCCCCATCTCCAGTGGAGCCCTGAGGGGGTTCCTGTGTCCTGAGGGCGTGGCCCCATCTCCAGTGGAGCCCCTGAGGGGGTTCCTGTGTCCTGTGGGCGTGGCCCCGTCTCCAGTGGAGCCCCTGAGGGGGTTCCTGGGTCCCGTGGACGTGACCCCGTCTCCAGTGGAGCCCTGCAGGGTGGTTCCTGGGTCCTGTGGGCGTGGCCCGGTCTCCAGTGGGGCCCTGCAGGGTGGTTCCTGGGTCCTGTGGGCGTGGCTCCGTCTCCAGTGGAGCTCTGCAGGGTGGTTCCTGGGTCCTGTGGGCGTGGCCCCGTCTCCAGTGGAGCCCCTGAGGGGGTTCCTGGGTCCTGTGGGCGTGGCCCCGTCTCCAGTGGAGCCCCTGAGGGGGTTCCTGGATCCTGTGGGCGTGGCCCCGTCTCCAGTGGAGCCCCTGAGGGGGTTCCTGGGTCCTGTGGGCGTGGCCCCGTCTCCAGTGGAGCCCCTGAGGGGGTTCCTGGATCCTGTGGGCGTGGCCCCGTCTCCAGTGGAGCTCTGCAGGCTGGTTCCTGGGCCCTGTGGGTGTGGCCCCGTCTCCAGTGGAGCCCTGCAGGCTGGTTGCTGGGTCCTGTGGGCGTGGCCCTGTCTCCAGTGGAGCCCCTGAGGGGGTTCCTGGGTCCTGTGGGCGTGGCCCCGTCTCCAGTGGAGCCCTGTGCTGGTTGCTGGGCCCTGTGGGCGTGGTCCCATCGCCGCTGAGCACGCTCTGTGGTGAGGATGTCGCAGGCTCACCTGGACCCTGCCTGGCTTTGGCCATTTCTCCGGGGAAGCTCTGGGTCCTTTCAGCAGGGAGTGAACCACAATCCGGGTGCCAGACTTGCTTTCTGCAGACCCCAGCCCTGCTGTCCTCTTCCTGCAGTTGACTTTCCCATGATCCTCCAGGAGCCTGGAGTGCTACCCAGTCTGCAGAATCCACTGACCTCAGCAAGCCAGGGGTAGCCCATCTCCTGAGCTTTTATTTCATAATTTTAACATGCTCATTGAACAGTGACTCCTTTAGGCTCTTGGGTCTGATTCTTGTGGGGATAAAGAGAAGTGGGAGCTGCTCTCTGTCCCGTAGCCGAGTGGCACGTGTGGTGGCAGAGTGACAGGAGCTGGGAGAGAGCGTGGAGGATGTGCCCCGGCTTTGGAGACGAGGCCCGGTGCCTGGGCAGCCACTCCTGGCTCGGGCACCGCCAGTGCCCGAGTGTGAACGTCTGCCCCTGGGAGTGCACGTGGACGGGCGATGTCGTGGGGCGTGGCAGGTTTTTAGTGTGGCTTGGACGCCAGGCAGGGCTGTGTGGTGAGTGTGGCTCTGCCACTCTGCTGTGATGCTGTGGGCACTTGGAGAGCGGTCCCCTTCGGGTGTTCGAGTAGGGGGTCTGGCTTCGGTCCTCTCTTGTCGGCTCAGCCCGTGGTCCACCAGGGTGTACTCCTTGGTTCTTGTGTTTCTGATGTAGTGCAGCTTACAGGTCGTTTGGCCTTCAGTGTCAGTATGGAATGAGTGGTAGCAGGTTTTTGCCTTTTTTTTTTCTGGAATTGTTCATGGGTTCAGTGCTTCTTTCAAAAAAGATTTATTTATTTGAAAGGCTGAGTGACAGAGCGAGAAATAGCTTCATCTGCTGCTTCACTCCCCTAAGGGCCGCACAGCCAGGCCTGGGCCAGGCCGAAGCCAGGAGCAAGAACTCCTCCTGGGTCTCCGGTGGGTGCCGGGAACCTAGTTACGTGGGCCATGATTTGCTGCCTCCCAGGTGCGCGGCAGGGAGCTGGATGAGACAAGCAGAGTAGCCCGGACTGGGGCTGAGCACTCCAGGGTGGCACGCGGGTGTCCCAAGGGGGCGACTCGGCTGCTGCCCCCCGCACCCGCCCCAGTGTGCCTCGAGTGAGCTTAGCTGTGGTGTGACCTGAGCAGGGTCGGGAAGCTTCGCGGTGCTGTTGGTGGTGACGGGCGTGGACCGGTGAGCCTAGCAGTCACGCGGTTCAGAACAGGCCCTGGGGAGGGCGGCTGGTTATGTGTAGGGAGTGTTTTCATCTCCCGAGTAACAGCGTCTAAAAGGCAGACGTAACGGGTCCCCCAGGTGGGGCTTGCCCCTTCCAGACTGTCCGCACACGGTGCTCCCTGCACGTCCACTCCCTGAGAGGAGGCTGGCAGGGCCGTCGGCCCGCAGTGCCCAGCGCGCAGAAGGACGTGCTGGGAGAGTCGCAGGCCTCCCTCCCACGATGTCCCTCCCTTCCGCCCTGCCGGCTTCTCTGTCCTGGAGTTGCTGTCCGCTCGTCGGCACACGCGTCAGTGACGCCCGCCGTCCCACACGTGTCAGTGGCGCCCGCTGTCCCACACGCGTCAGTGACACCCTCTGTCCCACACGCGTCAGTGACGCCCGCCGTCCCACACGCATCAGTGGCGCCCGCCGTCCCACACGCGTCAGTGGTGCCCGCCGTCCCACACGCGTCAGTGGTGCCCATTGTCCCACACGCGTCAGTGGCGCCCGCCGTCCCACACGCGTCAGTGGCGCCCGCCGTCCCACACGTGTCAGTGGCGCCCGCCGTCCCACACGCGTCAGTGGTGCCCATTGTCCCACACATGTCAGTGGCGCCCGCCATCCTACACGCGTCTGACGCCCGCTGTCCCACCTGTTTCTCCTTGTATGAGTCGTAATTTTGGTCTCACCTCTGAGAGCTCGCCCTAGGCCTAGCTCCTGAAATCTTTTATTTTTCCTATTCTAATTTTTTATGTAAATGTGTGCTTCATCTTGATTTAGATCAATTCATTTTTTTTAAAGATGTATTTCTAGCTGGCGCCACGGCTCACTAGGCTAATCCTCCGCCTTGCGGCGCCGGCACACCGGGTTCTAGTCCCGGTCGGGGTGCCGGATTCTGTCCCGGTTGCCCCTCTTCCAGGCCAGCTCTCTGCTGTGGCCCGGGAGTGCAGTGGAGGATGGCCCAGGTGCTTGGGCCCTGCACCCCATGGAGACCAGGAGAAGCACCTGGCTCCTGCCATCGGATCAGCGCAGCGCGCCGGCCGCAGTGACCATTGGAGGGTGAACCAACGGCAAAGGAAGACCTGTCTCTCTCTCTCTCTCACTGTCCACTCTGCCTGTAAAAAAAAAAAAAAAAAAAGATGTATTTCTTTATTTGAAAGGCAGAGTTACACAGAGGCACAGAAAGAAAGAGCAAGAGAGAGAGAGAAGTCTTCCATCTGCTGGTTCACTCCCCAGATGGCTGCAACGGCTGGAGCTGTGTTGATCCCAGCTGCTCCACTTCCAGCTCTCTGCTGTGGCCTGGGAAGGCAGCAGGGGATGGCCCAAGTCCCTGGGCCCCTGCACCTGTGTAGGGGACCTGGAGGAAGCTCCAGGCTCCTTGCTTCGGATTGGCCCAACTCCAGCCGTGCGGCCCTTTGGAGAGTAAGCCAGTGGATGGAAGATCAATCTCTCTCTCTCTGGCTCTGTAACTCTTTCAAATAAATAAATAAATTTTAAAACAAACCGGTTGAACCTATTTGTTTGGGTGTACTCCTTGGTTCTGTCCCTTGACTGTGTCTGTCCAGTGCCGTGCAGTCTTGATTGCGGTAGCTGGACAGAAAGCCCTAATGCCAGGCTGAACGAGTCCCCCCAGCTTGTTCCTTCTCAGAATCGTTTGGCTATTCTAGTCCCTTTGCCTTTCCATATGCATTTTAAAGTAATCTTATCCAGAGCTACAAAAAAAAAAAAAAAAAAAGGCCAAGCATTTGCTGAAGCTTTGGTTGAGATTCTGTTAAACTTGTATATCCATGGGGAAGAACTGACATCTTTCCTGGGTTGAGTCTCCGAGTCTGTGAACATCAAATCCCTCGTTCTTTTCTTTTTAAATTTTGTTTGTTTGAGAGACATACAGACGAGCAGAGAGAGCCATCATCCTCCGGTTCACTCCCCAAATACCTGTAACAGCTAGGGCTGGGCCAGTCTGTAGCCGGGAGCTGTGACTTAGTCCAGGTCTCCACTGTGAGTGACAGGGACCCAGCTGCTCTGAGCCGTCACCTGCTGCCTCCCAGGGTCGGCGGTAGAGGTGGCCGGAACTGGGCATCAGGGCAGGTGCAGGACACAGGGTGCGGCGTCTTGACTCCTCGGCCAGGCGCCGGCCCCAGCCCTCTGCTTTCTCGTGGGAGCTGCAGCCATGGAGACGGCGGGCGGTGCGTGTCGCCCTGTGTTTAGGACACTGTTTCAGGGAGGACGTCACCCACAGGCTGTCGGGCTGAGTCTTGGCTCACCCTCTCCCGTTTGTTTTGCGTTTCTACCCACAGGCCTATGAGAGGAGGTTCCCTACCTGTCCCTTGATCCCAATGTTCGTGGACAGCGACACTGTGAATGAATTTAAGAGCGAAGACGGAGCCATTCATGTCATTGAGAGACGCTGCAAGCTGGACATCGACGCCCCCAGGCTGTTGAAGAAGGTACCGCGGGGTGTGCGGGAGGTGGCGTCCGCCCGCCCGAGGACCGCGCGCGCTGCTGCTGCCGGCTCATGTGCCGACTGGTGTCCTTAATAAACCTCATTCTCTGTTTCTGTTTTGAAGATTGCAGGAGTTGATTATGTTTATTTTGTCCAGAAAAACTCACTGAACGCTCGGGAACGCACTTTGCACATTGAGGCCCACAACGAAACGTTCTCGAATCGCGTCATCATTAACGAACACTGCTGCTACACCGTGAGTCCCCGGGGCCGCCTGCAGGGCGGCGCGCGGGCCTTCTGCCTGGCTCTGGCCCGTGGCACTGCAGAGTGGGTGACGTGGGGGCTGTTTCTAAACACCCTCGCCGTGCCACTGCTTTCCTGTCCCCCCGTGGCATTTCAGAAGGACCGAGCGCCGAGTGCGTCTCTCTCGTCTTCCCACTTCACTGTTTGCACACTGTTTCCCAGAACAGCTCTTGGCTGATCCTTCACATAACCTCCCCCAGCTCGCCTTTACCCTCCCATGGCGCCTCCTCCACGCCGAGCCCAGCAAGACTGGTCCCTAGTGAGCCTTTACCCTCCCACGACGCCTCCTCCACGCCGAGCCCGGCAAGACTGGTCCCTAGTAAGGGTCACCCTCCCACGATGCCTCCACCATGCCGGGGCCCGAGTGGTCCCTAGTGAGGGTCACCCTCCCACGATGCCTCCTCCACGCCAGGGCCCGAGGCCCGAGTGGTCCCTGGTGAGGTTCACCCTCCCACGATGCCTCCACCATGCCGGGGCCCGAGTGGTCCCTAGTGAGGGTCACCCTCCCACGATGCCTCCTCCACGCCGAGCCCAGCAAGACTGGTCCCTAGTGAGCCTTTACCCTCCCACGACGCCTCCTCCACGCCAGGGCCCGAGTGGTCCCTAGTGAGGGTCACCCTCCCACGACGCCTCCTCCACGCCGAGCCCAGCAAGACTGGTCCTTAGTGAGGGTCACCCTCCCACGACGCCTTCTCCACACCGGGGCCCGAGTGGTCCCTAGTGAGCCTTTACCCTCCCACGACACCTCCTCCACGCCGGGGCCCGAGTGGTCCCTAGTGAGGGTCACCCTCCCACGATGCCTCCTCCATGCTGGGGCCCGAGTGGTCCCTAGTGAGGTTCACCCTCCCACGACGCCTCTTCCACGCCGGGGCCCGAGTGGTCCCTGGTGAGGGTCACCCTCCCACGACGCCTCCTCCACGCCGAGGCCCAAGTGGTCCCTAGTGAGGTTCACCCTCCCACGACGCCTCCTCCACGCCGGGGCCCGAGTGGCCCCTGGTGAGGTTCACCCTCCCACGACGCCTCCTCCACGCCGGGGCCCGAGTGGTCCCTGGTGAGGGTCACCCTCCCACGACGCCTCCTCCACGCCGGGGCCCGAGTGGTCCCTGGTGAGATTCACCCTCCCACGACGCCTCCTCCACGCCGGGGCCCGAGTGGTCCCTGGTGAGGTTCACCCTCCCACGACGCCTCCTCCACGCCGGGGCCCGAGTGGTCCCTGGTGAGGTTCACCCTCCCACGACGCCTCCTCCACGCCGGGGCCCGAGTGGTCCCTGGTGAGGTTCACCCTCCCATGACGCCTCCTCCACGCCGGGGCCCGAGTGGTCCCTGGTGAGGTTCACCCTCCCACGATGCCTCCTCCACGCCGGGGCCCGAGTGGCCCCTGGTGGGGTTCACCCTCCCACGACGCCTCCTCCACGCTGGGGCCCGAGTGGTCCCTGGTGAGATTCACCCTCCCACGACGCCTCCTCCACGCCGGGGCCCGAGTGGTCCCTGGTGAGGTTCACCCTCCCACGATGCCTCCTCCACGCCGGGGCCCGAGTGGTCCCTGGTGAGGTTCACCCTCTCACGACGCCTCCTCCACGCCGGGGCCCGAGTGGCCCCTCCTGAGGCTTTGCAGCAGATCAGCTCGTGTCACTTCTCAGCTCAAAGCCTGGCAGCCTCTACGCCCCCCAGTCGAGCCCCGAGCCCCTGCGTGGCGCACGAGGCCCTGTCTCTCCTGAGCACTCTGCCGTCCCTCCTTCGTGGCTCCTGCCTGGCGTGAGGCTGCTTCCTGCGGCTTCTGCTGCAAGTGCTGGCTCTTCCAGCCTTGCTGTGCCCCGTCTCCTGCCCCCTCCCTCCCCCTCCAGCCTCTGCTGCTCAAAGCTGCCCTGACCCTGAGTAATTCTGCAGCCGGACCCCGATCTTCCTTTTTCTTTAATAAAGATTTATTTATTGATTGATTTGAAAGTCAGAGGGAGAGACAGTTCTTCCAGCTGTTGGTTCACTCCCCAGATAGCTGCAACACCGAGGGCTGGGCCCGGCTGAAGCTAGGAGCTAGGAACTTATCTGGGTCTGGCATGTGGGTGCAGGGCCCAAGCACTTGGCCATCTTCTGCTGCGTTCCCAGGTGCACCAGCAGGGAGCTGGATCAGAAGTGGCGCAGCCGGGACTCAAACTGGCTCCCATATGGGATGCCGGCACTGCAGGCGGGATCTTAACCGGCTGTACCACAGTGCTGGCGCCGACCTCTGATCCTTTAAGCCCTGCCCCTAGTTCTCTTTCCAATGGCTGTGTAGTTCTCTGCCTGTTAGATCTGCGCCAGTCGTCCTTGTCCCCTGCTGGACCGTGGGCAGCACAGACGAGGCAGGGGATGCTCCGAGGGTGCCGAGTGGGGGAACGGAGCAGGAGAAGTGGAGCTCTCCTTTCCTACCCATTTTTGATATCCTGGAAAAGTTGTTATTTGACCTTTTCATGACTTCGAGCCACTGTGGTTTCCAGCCGCTGTGTGCGTTCAGTCAGCTGGTTGGGGAAGCGCGTGTTTCTCGTCACGCGTGTCTGAGGAGCACACGGACACGTCTCAGTGCGGCCCGGTCAGTGAGTGTGCTTTCTCTCCACCCGCAGGTTCACCCTGAAAATGAAGACTGGACTTGCTTTGAACAGTCTGCGAGTTTAGATATCAAGTCTTTCTTTGGGTTTGAAAGTACTGTCGAAAAAATTGCCATGAAACAGTATACCAGCAACATTAAAAAAGTGAGTTGCTATTGGGGCTCTGTGGAAGGTGTGGGCGGGAGGTGGGGGGTGGGCTGGGGAGGTGGGGGGTGGGTTAGGGAGGAGGGTTGGAGGTGGGGGATGGGTTAGGGAGGGAGGGTTGGGGAGGTGGGGGATGGGTTAGGGATTGCAGGCCCCTTCTTGAAGAGGAAACTCTTTGAGGCCTGGCCCCTGCCTTATCCTCAGAGGTCAGGGTTCAGATGGGGGTGGTGCTGACAGAGGTGAGGGGGTACAGGATGCTCCTGGCCATTGCGTTCTCTGCCGGGAAGGGTGGACGCTGGGGCGGGCAGCGGCCTGGGGCTCACAGCACCCCCAGGCTCGCCTCTGCCACGTGGTGAGACTCACCCATGGGCTCCTGGGCACCCCCGCCCTGGATTGTCGGGTTCGTCTTCCCTGCGAGACCTTCTCACTTCCTGCTGCCTGTCGTTGAACTACACCAGCGGGGTTGTGGGCGCTGTCTGAAGGCTGCTGGCAGTCAGGCGGCCGGGTTGGCATAGGCGTGTGTTGAGAATGTTGAGTATCCCTTCGGAGAGGAGGAAGAAGAAAAATTAGGAAAAAGTGAAAAACAGAGTCCTTTGTCTTTCCCCCTTGGTCTGTACGGTGGTTTTCAGTAGCATTTGCCAACTCGTGAGGGTGAATCACGTCTCCTGTGGCACTGCTGTGTGGTGGGGATGAATGTGGCACTGCCGTGTGGTGGGGATGAGTCGTGGCACTGCCATGCGGTGGGGATGAATGTGGCACTGCCGTGTGGTGGGGATGAGTCGTGGCACTGCCGTGTGGTGGGGCTGAATGTGGCACTGCCGTGTGGTGGGGATGAGTCGTGGCACTGCCGTGCGGTGGGGATGAATATGGCACTGCCGTGTGGTGGGGATGAGTCGTGGCACTGCCGTGTGGTGGGGATGAGTCGTGGCACTGCCGTGCGGTGGGGATGAATGTGGCACTGCCGTGCGGTGGGGATGAATGTGGCACTGCCGTGTGGTGGGGATGAATGTGGCACTGCCGTGTGGTGGGGATGAGTCGTGGCACTGCCGTGTGGTGGGGATGAGTCGTGGCACTGCCATGTGGTGGGATGAATGTGGCACTGCCGTGTGGTGGGGATGAGTCGTGGCACTGCCGTGTGGTGGGGATGAGTCGTGGCACTGCCCTGTGGTGGCGCTGAATGTGGCACTGCCGTGCGGTGGGGATGAGTCGTGGCACTGCCGTGCGGTGGGGATGAATATGGCACTGCCGTGCGGTGGGGATGAGTCGTGGCACTGCCGTGCGGTGGGGATGAGTCGTGGCACTGCCGTGCGGTGGGGATGAATGTGGCACTGCCGTGTGGTGGGGATGAGTCGTGGCACTGCCGTGCGGTGGGGATGAATATGGCACTGCCGTGTGGTGGGGATGAGTCGTGGCACTGCCGTGTGGTGGGGATGAGTCGTGGCACTGCCGTGTGGTGGGGATGAGTCGTGGCACTGCCGTGTGGTGGGATGAATGTGGCACTGCCGTGCGGTGGGGATGAGTCGTGGCACTGCCGTGTGGTGGGGATGAGTCGTGGCACTGCCGTGTGGTGGGGATGAGTCGTGGCACTGCCGTGCGGTGGGGATGAATATGGCACTGCCGTGTGGTGGGGATGAGTCGTGGCACTGCCATGTGGTGGGGATGAGTCGTGGCACTGCCGTGTGGTGGGATGAATGTGGCACTGCCGTGTGGTGGGGATAAGTCGTAGCACTGCCGTGTGGTGGGGATGAGTCGTGGCACTGCCGTGTGGTGGGGATGAATGTGGCACTGCCGTGTGGTGGGATGAATGTGGCACTGCCGTGCGGTGGGGATGAGTCGTGGCACTGCCGTGCGGTGGGGATGAGTCGTGGCACTGCCGTGTGGTGGGGATGAGTCGTGGCACTGCCGTGTGGTGGGATGAATGTGGCACTGCCGTGTGGTGGGATGAATGTGGCACTGCCGTGTGGTGGGATGAGTGACCGGACGCGGGCTGTGTTCCTTCAAGGGCAAGGAGATCATTGAGTACTACCTGCGGCAGCTGGAGGAGGAAGGCATCACCTTCGTGCCCCGCTGGACCCCGCCTTCCCTCGCGCCCTGCACGGAGACCGCGGCGAGCGGGAAGCAGGCAGCGGCCGCGGCTGCCACCCCAGACGCCGCCCTCCGGGAGGGGCTGTGCAGCGAGGCCTCCAGCACCCCGGGCGGTGTGCCGGAGCCCGCCGCGGGGACCCCGGACGGTGAGTCTCAGGCTGCTGCCTTCCTAGAGCAGGGCCGGGCGCTGTGGGCCCTGCCGCACGCCACCTGCCTGCCGTCGGCCGTCTCGGGAAGGGAAATCCGCTCTTGGTTTTGGCCCCGTCCTCTGCCTTATGTAAGCACGGTCTTGTGTCCGTCTTCGATTTCACTGGGAAGGTCGCAGCCACCGCTCTTGTGGAGACCAGAGGCGTTTCCTCTGCCTCAGTAGAGGCCCCGAGAGCACTGTCCCCGCCCTGTGGCCCCGGCAGCCTCCTCCACGCGGGCCGTGTGCACGGGCTCTCCCAGCCCCTCCTCCTAATGCCGGTTCCCTGTGCTTAGGAAGGGCTTAGGACCCCCGGTCACAGGGTAAGGAGGCGCCGAGGCCTTGAGTGACATGCCCGCAGAGGTAATGCCCATGGTAGAGTCTGAAACGCTGGAAACACAAGGAAAGCCCCCCACTGGAAAATTAACAACAATTTATTTGAAAAAAAGAGACAGAGAGAGACCTTCCATCCACTGGTTCACTTCCCAAATGGCTGCAACATCTGGGGCTGGGCTGAGCTGAAGCCAGGAGCCAGGAACACCATCCTGGTCTCCCACATGGGTGGCAGGGACCCAAGCTCTTGGGTCATCTTCTTCTTCTTTTTTTTTTCTAAGATTAATTAATTTATTTGAAAGGCAGAGTTACAGAGTGGCAGAGGCAGAGAGAGAGAGAGGTCTTCTGTCTGCTGGTTCACTCCCCAAATGACCACAATGGCCGGCGCTGTGTCGATCTGGAGCCAGGAGCTTCTTCCAGGTCTCCCATGTGGGTGCAGGGGCCCAAGGACTTGGGCCATCTTCTACTCCTTTCCCAGGCCATAGCAGAGAGCTGGATCGGAAGTGGAGCAGCCGGGATTCGAACCGGCGTCCATATGGGATGCCGATGTTGCAGGCGGCAGCTTTACCCGCTATGCCACAGCGCCGGCCCCTCTTTATTCAGACTTGATTTAGATGCACTTTCTTGTTTGGAGACCTGAGGTTTCTCAAGCAGAGGTACCCGGAAGGGTCCAGGGAAGGCCGGAGCCAGGACACCAGCCTGCGGCTTGGTCTGCAGTTTGACCTCACAGACCACGGCGTCTCTGCGGTGGCCGGCTCCTGAGTTCTCTTGCGTTATTGACTTATTTTTTAATCGCTGCTTTACGATTTTTGACGGACATGCAGTGCTTGCCCAGCACTGGGCGCAGGGCCGCGTTGCCGCATCCGCACTGGGTGCCCGTCAGGGCAGGTGGCTGCCAGCCTGCATCTCCCGCGGACGCCGCCGTCGCTGCAGGCTCGGCCCAGGCCCCGCGCTGCCGTCACCGAGGTGGACCTGGAGGCCCCGGTGCCGGTGTCCCTGCGTGAGCCCTGCCGCGCACCCTGTGTTGCAGACAAGCTGGACGCAGACTACATCAAGAGGTACCTGGGTGACCTGACCCCGCTCCAGGAGAGCTGCCTCATCCGGCTCCGCCAGTGGCTCCAGGAAACACACAAGGGCAAAGTGAGTGGCGCCGCTGTGAAGGGGGGCACTGGCTGCCGTGGTGTGAAGGGGGCTCTGGCTGCCGTGGTGTGAAGGGGGGTCTGGCTGCCGTGGTGTGAAGGGGGCGCTGGCTGCCGTGGGTGGGAGCGCCCCCCGCGCCCGGCTGAAGGGCGCTGACTGGGGGCGTTGGAGTCCGCGGCGGCACGTTGCGGTGCCCCTCCGTGTGGGGTCGGCTGTTGTCTCCTAGACTTTCAGCAGGACAGTGTGACTTGAGAACAGTTAAATGTCGAGTTACAAAGCAGACTTGTGTTCTGAGTGCTCACGCATTTTAATTTTCAGAACGTTTGGAAGGAATTGAGAGTTCACAATTAGAGACGTAAGGATTTTGGCAGAATCTTGGCCTCGTGAGGACTCGGGTCGGCCGTCTTAGGTGGCAGGCCGAGGCGGGTCTGTGTCTCACCGCCGTGCCCAGGGCTTAATTCAGGGAAGCCGCTCACCAGAGACGGCGACTCAGGACTGTTTGCTGCTCCTGGCTGCCGTTGTCGTGTGCTGGCCGCGTGCTGGCCACCGCGTCAGCCCTTTCTACATCCCCCAGCAGCCCCGTAGGGCAGGTCTGTTACTAGCACCTCTGCTCGAGTGGGAGGAAGCAGGCCCACCTCCTACAGCTAGCGAGCGGTGGCGTCAGGATTTGAACCCAGGCTGTTAGGTTCCAAAAGCCACCTTCTTTTTTTTTTTTTTTTTTTTTTTTTTTTTTTTTTTTTTTTTTATAATCAGAGTGGATAGAGAGAGAGAGAGAAAGGTCTTCCTTTGCCGTTGGTTCACCCTCCAATGGCCACCGCGGCCAGCGCACTGCAGCCGACGCACCGCGCTGATCCGAAGCCAGGAGCCAGGTGCTTCTCCTGGTCTCCCATGCGGGCGCAGGGCCCAAGCACTTGGGCCATCCTCCACTCCCTGGCCACAGCAGAGAGCTGGCCTGGAAGAGGGGCAACCGGGACAGAATCTGGCGCCCCGACCGGGACTAGAACCCGGTGTGCCGGCGCCGCTAGGTGGAGGATTAGCCTAGTGAGCCGCGGCGCCGGCCCCAAAAGCCACCTTCTGAACCACTTGCGTACAGCTGGTCCCACCTGGTGAAGGTGAGGCTGTGGGCTTTGCGTTGTGTGCCCTGCGCGGGGCTGGGAGCCAGCTCAGGTTCCCACTCACTCTTCGTCCCCGAGGACCGCCCACACGAGCCAGGGTGTGGCACTGGGGGACGCCCGTGCCTTGCTCTCTGCTGAGGAAGAAGCTCACCTATTGGCAGTGGCGTCTAGAGAAGGTTCCTGTGTGTCAGCAACGCCACCACCACCGAAGCCAGCACCATCTTGTAATCTGTTGGGTTTTTTTTAAGATTTATTTATTTACTTGAAAGGTGGAGGGACAGAGGGATCTTCCATCACTGCTTCAGTGCCCAGATGCCTTCAGTATCCAGGGCTGGGCCAGGCAGGAGCCGGGAGCCGGGAGTTCCCTGAGGGCCTCCACCATGGCCGGCAGGGCCCCAGTGCCCGGGCCATCCTCCCCTGTCCCCCAGTGCCCGGGCCATCCTCCCCTGTCCCCCAGTGCCCGGGCCATCCGCCCCTGTCCCCCAGTGCCCGGGCCATCCTCCCCTGTCCCCCAGTGCCCGGGCCATCCGCCCCTGTCCCCCAGTGCCCGGGCCATCCTCCCCTGTCCCCCAGTGCCCGGGCCATCCGCCCCTGTCCCCCAGTGCCCGGGCCATCCTCCCCTGTCCCCCAGATGCGTCAGCACAGGAAGCTGCACTGGAAGCAGAGCAGCCGGCACGCGGCCCGCACTCAGACACGGGGTGTGGGGATCCAGGCGGCAGCTTAACCCGCCCTGCCAGTGCCTGCTGCGTCTGGGGAGTCTGTCCCCCTGCTGCGTCTGTGGGGAGTCTGTCCCCCTGCTGTGTCTGTGGGGAGTCTGTCCCCCTGCTGTGTCTGTGGGGAGTCTGTCCCCCTGCTGTGTCTGGTGTGGGGAGTCTGTCCCCCTGCTGTGTCTGTAGGAAGTCTGTCCCCCTGCTGTGTCTGGCGTGGGAAGTCTGTCCCCCTGCTGTGTCTGGTGTGGGAAGTCTGTCCCCCTGCTGTGTCTGTGGGGAGTCTGTCCCCCTGCCGTGTCTGGTGTGGGAAGTCTGTCCCCCTGCTGTGTCTGTGGGGAGTCTGTCCCCCTGCTGCGTCTGTGGGGAGTCTGTCCCCCTGCTGTGTCTGGCATGGGGAGTCTGTCCCCCTGCTGTGTCTGGTGTGGGGAGTCTGTCCCCCTGCCGTGTCTGTGGGGAGTCTGTCCCCCTGCCGTGTCTGTGGGGAGTCTGTCCCCCTGCTGTGTCTGTGGGGAGTCTGTCCCCCTGCTGTGTCTGTGGGGAGTCTGTCCCCCTGCTGTCCCACGCACAAGACGGTGCACAGATGGTAATGCACAGGCCAGTGCTGGCAGGTTCAGGGAGTGCTGTGTGCCCTGGTGTGAGCCGCACCATGAGCATTATTCAGACTGATGCTGGTCTTCTAAGTGTCGAAGATTTTTTGGAAATAGCTAATTTTGAACAATGTAATAGTCAGCTCCCTGTTGATGGGAAGTGGGAGTTTTATGACTCTTAGTCCCTTAGCAACTTTTAACATTGCTTAGAAACCTCTTTCTCTCTGAATAGATCCCGAAAGATGAGCACATTCTCCGGTTCCTGCGAGCTCGGGACTTTAATATTGACAAAGCCAGAGAGATCCTCTGCCAGTCTTTGACGTGGCGGAAGCAGCACCAGGTGGACTACATCCTGGACACCTGGACCCCGCCGCAGGTCCTTCAGGACTACTACGCAGGAGGCTGGCATCACCACGACAAAGGTAGTGCAGACGCACAGCCGTCTGTTTCTGTCCTGCTGTCTCGCCGTGTCACCAGAGACACTGGGTTGTACACGGAGCAGGAGGGGCCTGCTCACATGGGGGATGGGAGCCCGTCCCTGGTGCAGAGAGAGGGCTGCCTTCCGCCCCAGGCACAGCTCTCTCCACCTGAGTGGCCAGGGCCAGCCTGGCAGAGAGAGGGCTGCCTCCTGTCCCAGGCACAGCTCTCTCCAGGGCCAGCCTGGCATCTCCGCCTCTCCACACAGCAGCTGACGCGTAGCCCCTGGGGCGGGGACTTCACGTCCTTCCTAGTGCATGCACCTGGTTTTGACTCATGAAGAATGAAGTGGGGATGTCTGGGGCGGTTTTCCGGGAGCACAGAGCTGTGGTGATAAAGGTCTTAGCGGTGGCGTTGGCCTCTGATGCAGCTTCGTCAGCACAGAGCCTCACCCCAAGCACAGGTCCGGGACAGCTGTGCACCTGCCGTAGCCGCCGCCCTCTGCGCAGGTGCAGACCCTGCAGCGCCAGCGATGGCACTGACGCCCGATCCGGATTTGCACGGCTTGGGTGCAGGCGCTGGACAGAGGCCCCGGGGCTGCCAGGAAGTGGGCTCCCGCCCCTGCTCTGGCCCTGTCCTTTCCAAGCCGAGGGGCTCCTCTGTGTGTGTGTTCCCGACTTACCGCCTGTTTCTCCGAGCTAATGCAGCGTGACTCTGGAACCCATAGTCCTGGTGTTCAGTCCTCTTGTGCCCAGCCTTCGGGGCTACAGAGCTTGGTAGTGAGAAATGGTTCCTGGTCATCCCCGCCCTGGCCTCCGTGCACACGGTGCAGGGTCAGTGCCTTCTCTGGAGAGCCATCCAGTCCTTTTCTTTCCCATGATCCCCTTGGCACTGAGTGGCAGGAGCCTAGGTGGTGCTGACTCGGGCTGCCTCTGGGTGGCTGGCCCAGGTGATGGCGTTAGTGGGGTGTGAGCCGGACCCTCTGGAGCTCCGCCCGTGAGGGCTGCAGAGAAGCAGGGCTGATATGTGCCAGTTGGTTTGGATTTGCGGATTTCCAGGCTGTTCTTGTTTACCTTGGTCCTTAGGGTGGGGACTGAAGGAAGCTGGCTTTTTAAAAATGTTGAAATTAACTTTTTAGGAACCTATAAATGAAAAAAAATTCTTTTTTAAGAAAGGAGGTTTTGAAAGTATTCTGCATTTGTAGAAAAAATACCTGTGGGCGTCAGCGCTGTGGCTCAGCGATTTAAGCTGCCTGTGACACCAGCGTCCTGTGTTGGAGTGACATTTGAGTCCCAGCTGCTCCACTTCCAAACCAGCTCCCTGCTAATGTACTGGGGAGGCAGCCAGTGATGGCCCAAGTGCTTGGGCCCCTGCTACCCACGTGGGAGACCTGGATGGAGTTCTTGGCTCCTGAGAAGTGAGAGTGAGAGAGAAATCTTCCATCTACTGATTGACTCCCGAGATGGTCGCAACAGCCAGGGCTGGGTCAGGCCAAAGCTGGGAGCCAGGAGCTTCTTCCGGGTCTCCCATGTGGGTGCAGGGGCCCAAGCACTTGGGCCGTCTTCCACTGCTCTCCCAGACACATTAGCATAAAGGAACTGGATTGGAAGTGGAGCAGCCAGGATGTGAACTGGCAGCCCATGTGGGAAGCCGGCAGTGCAGGCAGGGGCTTGTTATGCCACAATGCAGGTCCCTTCCTTGGAGTTTTCTTGGGAAGACGTGGGCTACCTCCCCTCCACACTAGGTGGTGCTTCCGTGAGGAGCGAGCTGCGGCTTGTGTGGAGCGCGGGCCACGCTGGCTTGTCGGGGCTCTGAGGGTGGAGCGTGGGCCACGCTGCCTTGTCGGGGCTCTGAGGGTGGAGCGTGGGCCACGCTGCCTTGTCAGGGCTCTGAGGGTGGAGCGCGGGCCACGCTGCCTTGTCGGGGCTCTGAGGGTGGAGCGCGGGCCACGCTGCCTTGTTGGGGCTCTGAGGGTGGAGCGTGGGCCACGCTGCCTTGTCGGGGCTCTGAGTGTGGAGCGTGGGCCACGCTGCCTTGTCGGGGCTCTGAGGGTGGAGCGCGGGCCACGCTGCCTTGTCGGGGCTCTGAGGGTGGAGCGCGGGCCACGCTGGCTTGTCGGGGCTCTGAGGGTGGAGCGTGGGCCACGCTGCCTTGTCGGGGCTCTGAGGGTGGAGCGCGGGCCACGCTGCCTTGTCGGGGCTCTGAGGGTGGAGCGTGGGCCACGCTGCCTTGTCGGGGCTCTGAGGGTGGAGCGTGGGCCACGCTGCCTTGTCGGGGCTCTGAGGGTGGAGCGTGGGCCACGCTGCCTTGTCGGGGCTCTGAGTGTGGAGCGCGGGCCACGCTGGCTTGTCGGGGCTCTGAGGGTGGAGCGTGGGCCACGCTGGCTTGTCGGGGCTCTGAGGGTGTGGAGCGTGGGCCACGCTGGCTTGTCGGGGCTCTGAGGGTGTGGAGCGTGGGCCACGCTGCCTTGTCGGGGCTCTGCGAGCCGCTCCCCCAGCTCCCCCAGCTCCCCCGATCCAGGTCTCCCACGAGTGCCGACGCTGTCTTTTCTTCCCTTTCTGCAGATGGGCGGCCGCTGTACGTGCTTAGGCTGGGCCAGATGGACACCAAAGGGCTGGTGAGAGCCCTCGGAGAGGAGGCCCTGCTGAGATACGTGAGTGTCCGCTGCGGGTTGCCGGGCCCCGTGCCAGCCTCACGCTGCTCTCTCTGCTGGTGGCACTGGCGTGTTGCCACCGACCTGTCCTGACGGGTCGCCTGTGTTACTAGAAGAGAAACTGTCTAAGATCTCAGGGAGGACACGCAAGTTGTGCAAGTGTTTCTCGCCGTGACAGCCTCAGAACAGCACCGACTGTGCTCGGGCGCCTCCTGGGGCCTGGTCCTGCGCCCACCGCCCTGGGGCCTGGTCCTGCGCCCGCCGCCCCACTCGCTCTGCGGCTCTCCCCGCCCTCCCTCCCCGGCTCTGAGGCCTCTCCCTGCCCTCCCTCCCCACCTCTGAGACCTCTCCCCGCCCTCCCTCCCTCCCCACCTCTGAGACCTCTCCCCGCCCTCCCTCCCGCCTCTGAGACCTCTCCCTGAGCCTCCCGCCGCCCGCGCTCTCACTGGGCTAGCGGCTGCCGTCCGCTCCCGCGCTGCAGGCCCGCTCTGCGCTGCCCCTTGGCCCACGGCAGCCCCGGCGCTGGCAGCTGCACCGCCCTCCGCAGAGGGACGTGGTCCTTGAGTTTAAACAAAAACGCGAGCTTTAGAAGGCTCCTCTGTAACCCATGCCTTTGTCTTGGAAGCCCCCGTCGCGGGCATTTTGTGGGGTGTGCTGCTGGCCCGAGGCCGTCTCTCAGGTGCACGTGGAGGTCTGGGGGGCTTCTCCAGTGGGGGAGTTGGGGCCTCTCCTGGGCCGCGTGCGGAGCCTGCTCTGAGGCGGCCCCTTCGGGAGCTCCCACACTTGGCGCTTATCTCCTGCTGCTCCCGGTGCCTGGTTCTGAGGCCAGCGCCAGCTCGTGTCCCCCGCTCGTCCGGCGGCTCCTCTGAGGGGCTGGCTGCTGCCCTTGCCCTTGCCCTAGGACGGTGCCGGTTCTTTCTCCGGGGAGAACGACAGTGTCTACGTGGACGCCACGGGAAGCTTCCGTGGCCAGCGTCTGGTTGGCAGGGACGGCATGCACTGTGACAGGACCCCTCCACGGCGTGGAGCAGCGCCGCTGTCCCGCGCACTCACGCCAGCCCCCCCCCCTTCTGTGCGCAGGTGCTCTCCATCAACGAGGAGGGGCTGAGGCGCTGTGAGGAGAACACCAAGGTCTTTGGCCGGCCGATCAGGTGCGTGTGGGGTTGGCTTCCCCCCAGCTGGCTAAGCTCTCGCGGGCTTTCAGAGGCCAGATCTGGCAGTTTGTGCATTGCAAGACCTCCGAGAAGGTAGAGTAATACGGCATCGTGGAGCGAGAGTCACTGGGCTTAGGTTTTTTTTTTTTTTTAACATTTATTTATTTGAAAGGCAGAGTAATAGAGAGAGAGAGAGGTCTTCCATTTGCTGGTTCACTCCCTGAATGGCCCCTAAGGCCAGGGCTGGGTCAAACTGAAGCCAGGAGTTTCTTCCAGGTCTCCCAGCTGGGTGCAGGGGCCTAAACTCCTGGGCCGACCTCCACTGCCTTCCCAGGCGCATTAGCAGGGAGCTGGATTGGAAGTGGAGCAGCTGGGACTCGAACGTGTGCTGGCATGGGCTGGGCATCACAAGCAGAAACTCAGTCCCAGCGCCAGCCCTGGATGTGGGAGTTTGGTCACTGAGTGTTGGCCTCTCTGGTCAGCCTGCACAGCTCTTGGAGCCCCAGCTTGCAGCTTGTTTGCGTGTTTGTTTCGGGCCCACCAACTGCAGTTACTCCGTTCGTCAGCCACCCTTGTAGTGTGGCGGACTGTCCTCAGATCGCGCGGCGTCCCAGGCTAGCGCCGAGAGGACGTCAGACGGGACAGCTCCCCAGGGCGGGGACTCTGGCTGCTTTTCTGTTCACAGCCGTGCTCAGCGCCTGGGCCTCACTCAGTAAATATTTGCTGAAGAGTGTGTCAAAATGCCAGGTGCGTGCCCTGCTGCCGGCAGGTCGGGGCAGCGGCTCAGCCTGCCAGGGACAGCGCCCGTGGCCTGGCTGGCCCGTCCAGATGGGGCTTCCGGGGGCCGTCAGGGAGCCAGCGCCTGCCTGAGCGCTGCAGAGACTCTGTGTTCCACCCGAGGAGGCAGAGCACGAGTGCACAGCCCTGGCGCCCAGTGCTGCCTGATGCACAGTGCAGAGCGAGAGCTGACCCCTCTCCACCCGCCCTGCAGCTCCTGGACCTGCCTGGTGGACCTGGAAGGGCTGAACATGCGCCACCTGTGGAGGCCGGGGGTCAAGGCCCTGCTGCGGATCATCGAGGTGGTGGAGGCCAACTACCCCGAGACGCTGGGCCGGCTGCTCATTCTCCGCGCGCCCAGGGTCTTCCCTGTCCTCTGGACGCTGGTGGGTCACCACGCTGTCAGCCAGGGTCTTCCCTGTCCTCTGGACGCTGGTGGGTCTCCTGCTGTCAGCCGCTGGGAAAGCGTGCAGCCTGCGTTCCGACACTGGGCCTCACGTGATCTTAGTTCTTCACTAACTCAGAGACACAATGTTTGTCTCAAAGAAACAGAAGCGAAGCTTCCGTGTCCCTAACGCTGCGCAGATGGAATTTTCTTCCGTCAGCCTCCCACTCGTAATACCGCATTGTTGTTGTTTTGTTAATTTTCATTTTGTCTGAAATGCACACAGGGAGGGGGGTGCTCCGTCTGCTGTCTTACTCCCCAGATGGCAGCAACAGCCAGGTCTAGCCCAGGCCACGCCAGGAGCCCAGGACCCATCCCAGGCCTCCCGTGTGGGTGCAGGGACCCACGCCTTTGAGCCATCACTGCTGCCCCCCAGGGTGCAAGCCAGCGGGAGCTGGATCCGAGCCGGGTCAGAGCCGGGTCAGAGCCGGGTCAGAGCTGGGTCAGAGCCCGCGAGTTAGCACTGGAAGCAGGCACTCCCGGAGGGGGTGTGGGCTCCAGGCCGCATCGCAGCCTCTGCGCCAGGCGCCCGCCCCACCTGGTGGTCTCGCTGTGACGGCCAGCGCAGCAGACGCAGTTACGGGCCGTTCTCTGTTCACTCGCAGGTCAGTCCGTTTATCGATGACAACACCAGGAGGAAGTTCCTCATTTACGCAGGGAACGACTACCAGGGCCCCGGAGGCCTCCCGGACTACATCGACCAGGAGATCATCCCCGACTTCCTGAGCGGCGAGTGCATGGTGCGCAGCTGCCCGGGGGGGGGGGGGGGCGGGCTGGCCCGGGCCCGCAGAGCGTGTCTGTGGCCTCATTTGTTCTCGGTTTGTTGGCTGGCATCTCCCTGATCCTAGCGTAAACGCAACAGAACCGTTGCAGGTGCACGCAGAATCTAGTGGAATTGTCACACAGCTCCCTGTGGGCGGGCTTCGTGACTGCGTAGCGGAGCTGGGCGTCCGGAGGTGCCCTGCTTCTCCCTGCGTCTGTCGGGGGGTGGACAGCGAGGCCTCTGGTGGGAGAGTCGCCCTCAGAACCTGGCCGCGGCCCCCACAGTGCCGTCACCCGGCGCGAGCGTTGAGGAGACCCAGACCTGGACGTCCACATGACGAGGCGGCGGAAGCCAGCAGGGCGTCTTCCTGAACGCTCGGAGAATTTAGAAGATGCTGGAGCTTAGGCGTCGGTCGCCAGCTTTGCTGGAGACACTGCAGGCGCAGTCAGAGTGCGGTGCAGTGAGCGAGTGATGACAGCTCCGCGGCTTCCCAGGTGCCGGGCCAGGCTCAGAGAGACCCGTGAGCCACGTGGGGACCCAGGGAAGCGCAGCTTCTGACTGCCTGGGATTGAGCGGAGGAGCCAGAGGAGCCTGGACAGGGAAGCCAGGCCTGCGCTCGGCATGTGCTGACCGCTGAGACGCACTTGGAGCGCGAAGAATTTTGGACGAGAGTTGAGCTGTCCGAGCGTCAGCCTTGCGTGGTGGCCTTCCCTCCCGTGTTGTGGCTGGGGCCGGCCGGCGTGGAGGCCACCCCGCCTCTCTGAGCCTGCGGGGTTCCCGACCCTGCCCGGCCTGCTCTGTCCTTGCATTTGCGCTGTGCTGCCCAGGACTGGGTCTTAGGAGCTGGAACGTGAAGTCCTCACAGCGAGGTCAGTGAGGACACGGTGATGTGTTCAGGTTCTGATTCCGTGTGGCCTGTTTCAAGCAAAATCAAAATAAGTGTGTGTGTGTTTCTGGCTAGTGCTGTAGACCAGTCATTGGACTTGGTTCTCACACACGCAGCTGCGTTCACTGATTCTTTCATATCTACACACACACACACACACACACACATGCATATACATACACACATATGCACATACATACACACAAATACACATGTACTGCATATACAAATATACGCACATGCAAATACATACATGCACATACACACATACAAATACATGTATACACATACATATATGCATGCAAATACGTATGTACCCATACACGCAAATACATGCACACACACATACATACAAGTACATATATACATGTGTACACACAGATACATGCACGTATATACACACATACATGCATGTACAAATACACACACGTGCACATAGTACGAATGCACACAATATGTACACATACCAGTGCACATAAACACGAGTACATACACACACATACATGCATATACATACACATATATACACATACATACATACAAATACACACATATACATATACTGCATATACAAATACATGCACATGCAAATACATGCACATACACACAAATACATGTATACACATACATATACATGCAAATATGTATGTACCATACATGCAAATATATACATACACACATACAAGTACATATGTATGTGTACACACAGATACATGCACACACATACATGCATGTACAAATACATACACGTGCACATAGTACGAATGCACACAATATGTACACATACCAGTGCACACACATAAACACGAGTACATACACACACACACAAGTATATATGTGCACACACACACACACACACACTTGCAAGGGAGAGCAGCAGAGCGTGCTCTCATCCGCTGGCTCACGGCTGTAACGACCAGGTCTGAGCCCGGCCAAAGCCAGGGGCCAGGATCTCCATCCTGGTCCCCACGTAAGTGGCAGGAGCCCGGCGCGTGGATCATCTTCCAGCGCCTTCCCAGGTGCGTCAGCAGGGAGCTGGATGGGACTCAACCCTCGCGAAGCGGCTGTAGAGAGCGAGTCCAGTGCTCTCGCCCGAGATCTTGGCAAAGCGGCTTTAACTCGGTCTCGTCTGCGAAGTTCAGCACAACACGTGGACGCCCTGGTCGAAGCTGCTCTGCCGAGCAGGGCCAGCTGCGTCGGGGCCCTGCTGCGGCCCCTGTCGGCGGCCCCTCGGCGGCCCCTCGTCAGCGCTGGGCGGCGCGGCCTGTTTGGGGCCCCCAAGGCTGGGTGTGCGTGCCCAGTGCTCACTGCTGTGTTTTCGTTGCAGTGTGAGGTGCCGGAGGGCGGACTGGTCCCCAAGTCTCTGTACCGGACAGCGGAGGAGCTGGAGAACGAGGACCTGAAGCTGTGGACCGAGACCATCTACCAGTCCGCGAGCGTCTTCAAGGGCGCCCCGCACGAGGTGCCGCCGCTGCCCTCCCCCGCCCCCTCCCCCTCCCCCCCCCACCCCCGCCCCACGGGCCCACAGCCGGGCTCTGGCCGCCCGCCGTTCCTGCGTTCCTTCTCCATGGCTAGGGCTGCCGACACCTGTTGTTCAGGCTGGGTAACTGGAAGAATGGGGACAGCAGGTCTCCCCCAGGGTAGGAGGGAGCAGGGCGGGGCCGGGCCCTGACGCAGGTGGCGGCAGCCCAGCCTTCCCTTCTGGGAGGGGTTTTAACTCCCAAATTTAGTTCCTCCCTCTCACCTTCAAAGATTTATTTGTTTGAGAGACAGGTCTTCTGTCCTCTGGTTCACTCCCCAAATGGCCACAACTGCCAGGCTGAAGCCAGGAGCCAGGAAGTCCCCCGGGTCCCCCGCGTGGGTGCAGGGTCCAAGCACCAGGCGCGTAGGCAGGAGCTGGAGCAGAAGTGGAGCAGCCAGGACTCGCCCTGGCGCCTCCTGTGTGGGATGCCAGCGCCTCGGGGGCAGCTGAACCCTCCGTGCCGCAAGGCAGCCCCTGAACTTAGTCTGCGTGGTGGTCGTCCTGAACTTAGTCTGCGTGGTGGTCGTCCTGAACTTAGTCTGCGTGGTGGTCGTACTGAACTTAGTCTGCGTGGTGGTCGTACGGAACAGCTTTTGTTTGTGATTGCTTCTCAAGACTGGGTCTGATTATTTATATTTTTAAGGTATTTGTTGGATTCTGTAGTTTAAAGGGACACAGAGAAACGAGTGCAGCTCTGTTTGCTGCTGCTGTGGCCGCCCTGTGTGCTGCCCATGCCCTGTCTGCGCTGGAACACGGGAGGGCCCCAGGGCTGAGTCGCCCCATCCCCCGCTCCAGCTGAGGTTCGCGGCTCAGTGTTGTCAGAGGACGGTGGTGCTGGGTACAGAGCAGGTGTTCTGTAAGCTTGTGGTGCTGGCCCAAGTCCATGCAGAGGCCAGGAGCTGACCCCTCCCTGCTTCCTGCCATGGCTGCCACCTGGCCCTGCTATCTGCCTGTCACGGCTGCGGGCACACCTCCCACGCGCCTGACGTTTGTGGGCAGGCAGGTAAGAGCGCCGTTGCTGTGGCTTGAGCGAGCAGAGGTGAACTTGGTTCTCTGTGTGCATGGCTCGTGGGGGCAGCATAGGGGCAACGTAGGGACAGCATAGGGGCAGCATAGGGGCAGCATGGGGGCAGCGTAGGGCCCGCGTGGGGGCAGCATGGGGGCAGCATGGGGGCAGCGTGGGGCAGCGTAGGGCCAGGTGGGGGCAGTATGGGGGCAGTGTGGGGCAGCGTAGGGCCAGGTGGGGGCAGCGTGGGGGCAGCGTAGGGCCAGCGTGGGGGCAGCATAGGGCCAGCGTGGGGGCAGCGTGGGGGCAGCGTAGGGACAGCACAGGGGCAGCATAGGGGCAGCGTGGGGGCAGCATAGGGGCAGCGTAGGGGCAGTCCCAGGTCCTGGCTGTCGTGAGGATCTTCGTGCTGACCTCTTGGAGGGCGGGAGGGAGGAGGCGGAGTGGTGGCCGTGGCTCCTGTCCATGGCGCACTTGTTTCCTCTGAGTCACAGGGCGTCTGTAAACAGAACAGAGAACGGCGCCTGTGCTTTGGGATTGAGTCAAGCCCAAGCGGAAGACCCACCCCCTCCCCCGGTTTCCCTTTCTGTGGTTTGTTCCTGTGGCACAGCGCACTTGGGTATTTTAGGAGCGAGATCACACCCTCATGTCTTTGGCTGACGCATGGGTCTGTTCTGGGTGCTCTGTGTCCATTTACGCGTAGAGTTATCCCAGGTGCGTGTGCACAGGAGAAGCACGGGTGCAGCGTGTCTGGCTCCGGTGTGGGCATCCGCCGGGGGGCTTGGGACAGACCAGGGGAGTCTACTGCGCACCTACAAGGAAGGCTGAATGGAACGTCGTGTGGGGAGGGCAGGAAGGAGGTGGCTCTCTCCGGGACCGATGTGCTCCCGGGTGCCGCCTGCTGCCCTTGGGTGGGACTGCTGTGTTTTGTTTAAAGATTGGTTTATTTGTTTGAAAGGCAGAGTTATCTTCCATCCCCTGGTTCACTCCCCAGATGGCTGCAACGGCCAGGGCTGGGCCAGGCCAAAGCCAGGCGCCTCACTGGGTCTTGCCCAAGGACTTGGGTCATCTGCTCCGCTTTCCCAGGCCGTCAGCAGGGAGCAGCACCCCTACCCTGGGTCACAGCAGTGGCTCAGCCCTCTGTGCCACAGTGCTGGCCCTCGGCTGGGCCTTCTGTGTTCATGGAGTCCGCGGTTGAGGGACTTAGTGGTGACGGTGGCTGTGGTGGACTTGAAGGAGAGTGGCCCTGCAGAGCACAGTGGGTCAGGGTGAGGGTTGTTCATTTTTTTAAACATGTATTCATTCACCTAAGAAGTTAGCGAGATCTTCCATCTGTGGGTTCATTCCCCAGATGACCACAGCAGCTGGATCTGGGCCAGACTGAAGCCAGGCGCCTGTAACTCCATCCTGGTCTCCCGCATGATGGCGGGGGCCTAGATGCTTGAGTCGTTCTTTGCTGCTTCCAGGACGTTAGCAGCACTGCAGCTGGCGCGCTGGGAGCTGCGGCTTAACCGCTGTGCCACAGTGCAGCAGCAGCCCCCCCCCCCCCCCCCAGCACTGACGGTTTTCCCTTTCATGCATTTGAAAGCGGAATGTCGGAGAGAGAAGATCCTGTGTCCTCTGGTTCTCTCCCTGAATGGTGGCAGCCGAGCCATCTGGGTCTCCCCCTAGGTGGCAGGGTTTCCCAGGCCCGTTAGCCGGGTGCTGGACCGGAAACAGAGCCATGGGGACTGGAGCTGGTGCGCTGATATGGGACAGTGGTGGCCCAGGCACTTGACCCACTGCGCCCAACACCAGCCGCCGGGCAGGGCTTTGTAGGCAGGTCCCGGGGAGGGTGGCACGGCTCGGCCTCTGCTGCCTCCTTGGGCGGAGTCTGCCGCCAGAGCTGTGCAGCCGCCTTGCCTCCTCACGGTGCCTGTGAACCTGCCGCTGGTCCCCTGCAGGAAGCTGCTTCCCGGTGCAGGGTCAAGTTCAGGTGTGAGCTCAGCACCCGGGGCGTCGACGTCCACCCTGCCGCCCAGCCCGTACCACGCCCGCCGCTGAGGCCGGTCCTCAGCCAGCAGCCCGCCCCCCGTGTCCCGGCCCCCCCGGTCCTCAGCAGAACCAGCTGTCGCCTCCCGGGGGCCGTGCTCACGCGTCTGCCGGCTGACGCGGCTGCTTCTCGCAGATCCTCATCCAGATCGTGGACGCCTCTTCCGTGATCACGTGGGACTTCGACGTGTGCAAAGGGGACGTCGTCTTCAACATCTATCACTCCAAGAGGTCACCACAGCCCCCCAAGAAGGACTCCCTGGGGGCCCACAGCATCACTGGGCCAGGCGGCAACAACGTGCAGCTCATAGACAGGGTGTGGCAGCTGGGCCGGGACTACAGCATGGTGGAGTCGCCCCTGGTGTGCAGAGAAGGAGAGAGCGTGCAGGTACCGTCCGCTGGCAGCCCCGCCCGGGAAGGCAGGGCCCCTGCCTCCGCCCCCGGCCGCCTGTCTGTGCAGCTGGCCCAGGTCAGACGAGCCAGGACGCCAGAAGAGCCGAGAAGGGAAGGTCTCAGCCTGGGCAGGGTCCGAGGTCTCAGCCTGGGCAGGGTCCGGACAGACCCGCGCCTGACGCCCTGCGCGTGCGTTTTCCTGAGCCGTGTGTTCAGCAAGTGGCAGGGAGAGCAGGCGCTGCAGGTGCTCGCGGCCGGGCTCAGAGACTCCCCGCGGCGTCATCGGGGCGCGAGGGGAGCGAGCGCTCCCCACAGGAAGATCAGCCTGAGGAGGCGCGAGGGGAGCGAGCGCTCGGGCCAGGCCTCCCCCCGCACGCGTGCCGAGCTGCCGGGCGTGGCAGCCCGCGGCTGACACTCAGGCGCGTGGTTCTCTGAGGGCATACGGCTGGTGTTGCTGCTGATACAGTTTCTGAGGGTGCGCCTGGGAGTGCTTCGTGGTCCTAGATGCAGACTGAATGTTTCTATCCCATTTCCTCTTTTTTAGAGATTGATTTATTTTATTTGAAAGTCAGAGTTACACAGAGAGGCAGAGAGAGAGGTCCTCCATCTGCCGGTTCACTCCCCAATTGGGCGCAATGGCTGGAGCTGCGCTGATCTGAAGCCAGGAGCCGGGAGCTTCTTCCCGGTCTCCTACGCAGGTGCAGGGCCCAAGCACTTGGGCCATCTTCCCTGCTTCCCAGGCCACAGCAGGGAGCTGGATCAGAAGTGGAGCAGCCGGGACTTGAACCAGAGCCCATAGGGGATGCTTGCACTGCAGGTGGCGGCTTTACCCACAACACCACAGCGCCGGCCTCCTATCCCATTTCTAAAGTGACGCACATTTGAGAGCCGTCACGGCCTCTGGTTCCATAGAGACTAAAGGACGGGCTTTAGAGCCACACATGGTGGCCTAGCACAGGCGGTGACGTCTGGCCCAGCCCGGGGACCTTTGCCGATCCCACCAGGCACCTGTTTACACGTGGCCTGCCTCTCCACGGGGGAGACGTGGTGCCTATGGCTGTGGCCCCTCCGGTACCCCACAGAGGCCTCGGCACGGGGTGGCCACTCGGCAGAGGGAGGAGCGGGGCTGAGCCACTTGCTGATAGTGCACCGAGCAGCAGGTCTTCGTTCCTGCGAAGTCGCTGCTGAGAGCGAGCCCGTGAGACAGGCCCAGCCGCCCGCGGCCCTGGGAGCAGGTGCCCCCAGCTGACGCCGGCTCCCTGTCGCAGGGTTCACACGTGACCCGCTGGCCGGGCTTCTACATCCTGCAGTGGAAGTTCCACAGCATGCCGGCCTGCGCCACCACCAGCCTGCCCCGCGTGGACGACGTGCTGGCCTCCCTGCAGGTGTCCTCCCACAAGTGCAAGGTCATGTACTACACGGAAGTGATCGGCTCCGAGGACTTCAGGTGCGGGCTGTGCGTGGGGGGGCTGCTGGGGGAGGAGCTCGGGGATGGGGCGGAGCCGACGGTGGCAGGTGGGGGGGCTGACCTGCTGGGGACAAGCCGCCCCACTGAGAAGCAGGGAGAGGGTGGGGGGCCCGGGGCGGGGCTCGGGGGCGGGGGCTGGGGGTGGGGTGGGGTGGGGCGGGGGCTTGGGGGCGGGGCCTGGGGCGGGGCTCGGGGGGCCCTCACCGCCCCGCTGTGCCCTTGCAGAGGCTCCATGACCAGCCTGGAGTCAGGGCAGGGGCCTCAGGGGCGGGGACCCAGGGCAGGGGCTCGGGTGGGGGGCTCGGGGCGGGGCTCCGGCGGGGCTCGGGGCAGGGCTCAGGGCGGGGGGGGGGGGCTGGGGGCGGGGCTCGGGGGCAGAGGGCTTGGGGCGGGGGCTCAGGGGTGGGGATCGGGGCGGGGCCTGGGGCGGAGGCTCGGGGCGGGGCTTGGGGGCGGGGCCCGGGGCAGAGGGCTCAGGGCGGGGCTTCGGGAGGGGGCTCAGGGCGGGGGGCAGGGACCCAGGGCCGGGGCTCGGGAGCGGGGCTGGGGCGGGCCCTCACCGCCCCCGCTGTGCCCTTGCAGAGGCTCCATGACCAGCCTGGAGTCCAGTCACAGCGGCTTCTCGCAGCTGAGCGCCACCACCACCTCCTCCAGCCAGTCGCACTCCAGCTCCCTGATTTCCAGGTAGTGCTGCGGCGCCGGTGCCTAGCGTGCGGAGGGGACGCCGCGTCTCCGCGAACAGCCAGCCGGCGGCGCCGTGGCGCAGACTCCTGGCACCCTCTAGATAGGCCATAGCTCTGCAGGCGGTAAACGTAGTCGTGTGATCCCAAGACTCGAGACACGGGGAGTGGTTCCTGACCCTACTAACTCCATAGCCATAGATTCTGTGTGCCGTGCGCACAAAGTCCAGGCAGTGCACAAGGGCTGTCTCGAAAGAAAAGTAGTTTTTATACCAGTTAAGGGGCTGCCTTTGTCTCAGATGTTGATGCAAAAAATTTTCTAGCCAGCTCCACCTCCTCCATCAGTGCACGAATTCCTCTGACCCCTTCAGAGACGCGCCCTCCTCCTCCCGCGGAGCGCCGGCCGCCAGCTCGGGCCCCCACACCGCAGCGTGCTCCTCGCGTCTCCGTGGATGCCGGCACAGCCCTGGAGGGGCCCTCTCCTCCCGGGCCCCGGGCAGCCTGCCGGAGTGCGCCGGGTGGCGCGCCGGAGCGGGCGCAGATGGCTCGGGCGGGGCTCCGGACACTCCCCAGGGCGCCCGGAAAGCAGCGCAGGTCATTAAACGCCACTTGCTCGTTCCTCTCGCCGCGCTCTCTGGCGTTTTGTTCAGAGCCTGCACGTGGGCGGGGCATCCTCCCGTCTCCCTGCGGTGCGGGGGGGTGGGGGAGGCTCCGTCTGTGGAGAGCGCATCCCCCGGGCCCAGGCCGCTCTTCCCCTCGTGGGCAGGCTGTGCCGGGTGCCCAGGAGTTCACGGCGGCCGCTTGGGAGCCCGCCGCAGGCCCGTGGTGCCGCTGCAGACGGCCCGGGGCTGCTGGGCCCTGCTTGTTTGTGCCTGGAACGTGGGCCGGGGGGGGGGTGCGTGCACGTATGTGCAGTGTGCACGGCTGTGTGGTGCTCACGGCGTGGGGCGAGCGGAGGGTTCTGCACAGGGGCACGTCGGTTTGCCTGTGCGTTCCTTTCCAGCGGGAACCGCGGCCTGCCCCGTCTCGTCAGGCTCCTGCTTTTGGCTTTCTATGGGAGAAGCATGTTTGTGGGTCTGTGCAGACGACATGTAGCGTTAGCCTCTGATAGACACTGGTGTGTGTGTGTGTGTGTGTGTGTGTGGCCGTGCGGGGCGTGGCGGCCCCCCCTCTGAAGGCGTTAGGTGGGCACATGTGGCTGGAGAGCTGTGTGCAGGCCGTGCGCACCCTGCGGGGCAGGGTGGGGAGGGCCTGGGGGCGCCCCGAAGCCATCGTGGGCTGCTGGGGTGGCCGGCCCGGCCCCCGCTGTGTGCTGCCGTGTCCAACGCTGTAGGGGCAGTTAGGGCCCTGTGTGGCTCTGGTCCGTGCTTCCTGTCTCCAACTGTAAGGACCTGAAGAGGGTCCCTTCTCCCTCTCTCTCCCTCCTCTCCCTCTCTCTCCCCCTCCCCCTCCCTCTCTCTCCTCCTCCCTGTCTCCCCTCTCTCTCCTCCTCCCTGTCTCCCCTCCCCCTCCCCTCCCTCTCCCCCCCCCCCCATGTCTCAGATGGCGATTTTGCTGACAGCTGCAAGGAAGCGCTCTACCCGGCGGTCCTCACGTGCCCAGGTGGTCCTCACGTGCCCAGGCGTTGTAGCCGGGCCCCACACCCGGCGGTCCTCACGTGCCCAGGCGTTGTAGCCGGGCCCCCTGGCTGGAGACCTGACCTTGTCAGTGGGTCCGCGTGCACAGTTTGCCCCAGAGAGGCCCAGGTGCCTGTAGGGGCTCAGAGCAGCTGGCCGCCCCCGCGGGCGACCCCTTCCAGTACTAACAAGTTTCGGGGTTTCCCTCCCAGGTTCATGATTTGCATATCAAATTCTGTAAATGTTTTGTAAACTCTGTTACCTCACTCTTGGTAATACAATACTGATTGATAGTCTTTAAAAGATTTTTTATTGTTACCGATAATAAATGTGACGCTGTTTAAAGAAAAGGATGTCTTTGTCTTCTCATTGTGAGTGGGCGGCCGCCCGGAGACCTGAGGCTCCCAGGGGACCTGACGGAGGGGACGCTGAGCTGGTGGGGCCGTGAGGTCGGCCGTGCCGCGCAGGTGGATTGGCCGGGGACCCGCGCTCAGAATCCCCGCCGTTCTACACAGGACCTGCTGCGGGGCTATGTATTTATTCATTTATTTCCTAAGCTTTGATTTAGAAGCAGCCAGTGGCTCACTCCCCCATGCCTGCAGCAGCTGGGACGGGGTCAGGACAAAGCCAGGAGCCGGGTGCTCCACGCGGGTCTCCCCTGCGGGTGGCAGTGCAGGGGCCGTCACTTGCTGTGTCCAGGTACATTAGCAAGAAGCTGGACTGGAAGCATGGGGCGGGGCTGGGGGTGCCAGGCGTCCCGGGCGGCCGTGGAGCAACGCGCCCTCCAGCCCCTCCCCCCACGCCTTCCTAAACTGCGAGGTCTCCCTGACCATCACACGTGATCCCGGCGGCAGCGCTTCTGTAGTAGAACAGACGGCTGTGTCCAGGTGCCTCAGAAAGTTCAGCGTGGCGCAGCCTGCCCGCGTTGCCAGTAGCCCAGCACAGCCACGAGGGTCACTGCCTCGGCGGAGCCCAGGGCTGGCTGGACGGAGGCCCGCTGGAGCCGAGCAGGGGCCGCTGCTTCCTGGCCAGGCCTGTCCTCGGTGGGACATGGGGTAGGAGCCAGCCGGGGACACCTGCCTCCGACACGGGTGACGTCCTAACCAAGGTCACCGTCTTACAGTGAACTTTGCATTTTGGTCGCAAGACAGACCCCCCACACACACACTCTTACACTCCTCAGATGCCCTCAGCTGCCAGGGTCGGCCGCTGAAGCCAGGAGCTCAGAACTCCATCCGGGTCTCCCGCATGCGGGGCAGGGCCCAAGTACATGAGCCATCCCCTGCTGTCTCCCAGGTGCGTCAGCAGGGAGCAGGAGTCGGGTGGAACCCAGACACCCCAACGTGGGGTAGGGGTGTCTTGAACAGTGTCTTAACCACTGCACCCAGTGTCCCTGTCTCTCACTCACACACTCGCGTGCACACTCACATTCACACACGTGCACACTCACACACCTCCCAGCCTGCTGCTGGTGGAGAGGAGACTGGGCCTGCGCGCGACTCCCTGGCCTGCCCCAGTGTCTGTCTCACACTCACACCTGCACGGCCTGCGCGCGACTCCCTGGCCTGCCCCAGTGTCTGTCTCTCACACTCACACCTGCACGGCCTGCGTGCGACTCCCTGGCCTGCCCCAGTGCCGCTGCTGTGGTCAGCCCAGACCTGCTTCCTCCAGGCCTTTGGCTTCCCGCGGAAGCTGCGGGCGATGTGGAAAGTGAGCGGAGTTGTGAGCATCCTCTCCCTGCCGGCTGCCTCTCCCCTGTCCCAGGAAGCACCACCCTGAGATGGGAGGTTCCAGACCGTGGTCATCGCCTGCTTCTGTTGGGCCGCGTCTGTCCTTGGCCACCCCGTGTTCCTGGCCAGATGAGGTCTCTCTGGAACTCTGGCCGAGCACAGCAAAACCCAGGGCTTTGGGAGGCAGAGGATTCTGGGAAGGTGGCAGTGGCCTCCCCACACCAAAACGACCAGCTCACAAATCGCAGAGCCTGTGGGCCACTGAATTCACTTAAAAATTGTTTTCATTTATTTGAAAGCTAGAGTTACATAGAGACGGAGATGGAGAGATGTTTTCCATCTGCTGGTTCACGCCCCGGATGTCCCCAACATCTGGGCCAGGCTGAAGCCAGGAGCTTGGAACGCGATCCGGGTCTCCACGTGGGTGCAGGGCCCAGGCGCGTCAGCAGGGAGCTGGACCTGCTGGCTGGTCCTCACACGGGAGCCAGGGTCGCCCCGCAGGGCCTGCCCCTGGTGGCTCTGTTATGTATTCCGCTGTAATTAACCCCGTGGACGTCCCATACAACACAGTGAGGTGCTGAGGTATCCCTAGAAACCCCCAGACAGCGGGGTATGGGTATAAACCAGTAACCGCAGGATCCACGTGACCTGCAGGTTGGTGGTGTGTGGGCCGAAGGCCGTGACTGTGGACACGAGAGCCGTAGCGCCCCCCCTCCCCCCGCTGCTGCCGTGGCCCCTGGGGAAACTCAGCAGAGACCCAGATGGGGCTGGGCTCACCCGTGGGCCCCACAGCAGGCCGGGTCAGAGGCCAGCACGAGGAGGGCTGAGCCAGGGGAGACGCTTGCCCCAGACACCTGCCCGGGGCTGCCTTCCAGGAGCGGTCGCACAGGCCACAGGGGGCGTCGGCCAGCACGGTCCTGAGCCCATGGGTTGCAGGAGGGCATTGGCCAGCACGGTCCTGAGCCCACGGGCCACAGTGGGCCGTCGGCCAGTGCCATCCTGGGCCCATGGGTCGCAGGAGGGCGTCAGCCAGCGCTGTCCTGGGCCCACGGGCTACAGTGGGGGGTCAGCCAGCGCCGTCCTGGGCCCACGGGCAGGGTGGGAGCTGCTGCCCTGGCACGGCCACCGTGTGCTCAGGGTTTCCGTCCTCCCCGGAGAATGGGGGCAGAGAGAGAACAAAGTCTCCCCGGACACAGCCAAGAGGCAGGAGCGGGTTAACCGCTCGGGCAGACCCAGAGAAACGAGTCCAGGAAGGGTTAGCAGTGAACGGAGGCGGCGTGTCGGAATCGGCGACTGCGGTGGAAGATGGTTTATAAATCAGACGGGGGGATTGTCGGACAGGGTCTGAGGGGCCCCACGTCGAGACGCTGGGACCCGTCCTGTCCTCCCATGGCTCCAACTTTGCCCATGGGCCTGCCAGCCTGTCACCAGGACCCAGCTTCGGCAGAATGGTCGCGAGTCCTCTCAGATCCTCGGCGCTGGCCTGACCACCGCGTGTCCATGGCAGGGCACACGGGGGACCTGGCTCTGCTCCCTGAGAGGCCATAGGGAGAGCGGGAGGCAGCTCCGTCTCTGGAGGCGCCACCAAGCCCACGTGCAGTCCAGGACCCGAAGTTGTAGCTAAGCCCTGCCCCTTCCTCTTGGCAGACCAGTCTACACCCAAGGCCTGACGGTGCCCGGGCTCCAGCAAGGACCTGAAACCAAGCGACAGCCGCGGGGAGCCCTGGAGGCCGCCCCTGCCACCCCGGCCTGCAGCTCTCGGAACCGGGGCGGCCACCGGGTCTTTGTCCCTTTTAGCTCTGCCCACAGAGCCGGAGCCCTGGGGGACTTACCTAAGAGGGGGAGAGGTGGCACGGGCGCCCCTGCTGTTGGGACAGGCATGCGCCTGAATCGGCAGAGTGCTCACCCGCACCGCTGGGAGGGAGAACCAGAGAGGCCGAGCTCCCCCAGAGTAAGGGGATCCCCCGCTGACCGCGTCCAGGCCGAGCCCTGCTGTCTCCGGCCCTTGGGCTCCAAGACCGCAGGCGCCAACTCCTCACGACAGACCCCTCCCCGCCCTCCGCAGCACCGTGCGTCCTGCTGGTTGTTTGTCAGGAGAGCCGGGGCCTGGGCAGCAGGTGTGCTTAGAGGAAGTGAGTTCAATGCTCTGGAAGTCTGTCTGCCAGGCCCTGGGGTGTGCGCGAGTTTGTGTGGCTTTCCTCCCATCAGCAGGCTCATCCTTGCCACTGGAATAAAACCAGCCACAGCCACTCACACCGGCTCCTCCGGCTTGGGGAAGGTCAAGGCCACAGCCATGGGGGCACGGGGGCAGGGGTGCAGGGGGCACGGTGCCCTGAGCAGGGCCGTGGGCACAGCCGGGCAGGGGACCTGGGCAGTGGCCTTCCCAGGCCCGGCCTCTCCTCCCAGCGCTGGGGAGGCCGAGTCCTGAGATGTGTCCCCATCTCTGTCCCCGCGCTGACCCCCCACATGGGAGGAAGTGGACCGCCCAGGGGAGCTGTGGGCACTGCGGCTCTGCAGTGGGAGGGGCTTGGCACCCCGGAGGGCCGGCCCAGCCGCCGCGGCTGCTGCAGGGAGTGCTGTCCCGGGAAAGGAGGCTGCGGAGCCTGTGGGACCCCCGGGTGCACGGGATCGGCGGAAGACAACCCCTGGGGAGGGGAGGGATGCGGCAGAGACGCCTGGCGGTCAGACCGAAGACGGTGAAGCCGTGGCATGCGGGTGACATGCGGGTGACGGGGGCCGGCGGGGAGGGAATGAAGTGCCCCCAGCGACGGCCCCTCGGCCCAGGTGCCGTGCGGGTGAGTGTCAGCTCCGGCTGTTTGCTGGGTGAGCCGCACCCCCACCTTCTGTGGGCCTGCGAGGCTGGGGCGTTTGCTCTGCGCTTGGCCCCATGGCTGTCCAGCACAGACACGGAACCGCGTGGAATCTGGACTGACAGGATCCCCGCAGGTCCTGGCCCGTCCCTTCAAGACTGCAGGCCGGCGCTGTGCCACCTGCAATGCCGGCATCCCATATGGGCGCCAGTTGGAGTCCCAGCGGCTCCACCTCCGATCCAGCTCCCTGCTATGGCCTGGGAAAGCAGTGGAGGATGGCCCAAGTGCTTGGGGCCCTGCACCCACGTGGGAGACCCATAAGAAGCTCCTGGCTCCTGACTTCGGATCCATTCAGCTTTGGCCG